GATCAACTGCCCTGGAGAAAATGGCAAATTGAGAGGGTGGGCTCTATGGCTGAGCTTCTTTTCCTCCCCAAACTCCCATCCTCCCCAGGCTCTGCCCCCAAACCTCCAGGGTATTTCCCAACTTGGAGACTATTGCATGTGGAAACTAGGCCAAAGCCTTGTCTCAGTAGCAAGTCAGCCCAAGACAGTAAGGTCGCCAGGTCTTGTCGACGTGCCAGCAGGGGATGGGAGGGAGCCTTCCCAGGAGTGGGGTGGGGCTCCATGGTGCAATGACATCACCCAGAAGTGACATCATCCCGTCAGGGACGCTCTAGTTTGAGGCCAAAAGTCTGTGGTAAAACTGCCCTCAAACCATAGAGTTCTGCCCAAAAGTCAGTGTCACTGTGCAACATCCCCAACGCAATGACGTCACTTCCTGGTGACGTCACTGTGTCAGAGACGTCACCCGGCGATGTCGTTGTTTGGAGGTGGGGTTTCCCCCATCGGCCAGCTGGCTGACAGTGGGCAGAAGCCCCCCAAACGGGGGGATTCTTTGCCCGGACCTGGGGAATGGTAATCCTACAACACAGCAATTCAAACCAAAATGCATGTTTTGCCTCTGACATGCCTGTCTCTGTTTAACAGCACTTGGAGTTTGTTTCTTCTGCCAACAGCATCAGATGGTCAACTACTCTCCCACTGAAACCCCAAACCCCCCTCAGCTGTAATCTAGCAAGTTATATCCTTGAGTGACCACAAAGTTTTGTTTTTTTTAAGTCAGTGTTGTGTACACAGTGACATTATTCCCAGGGGAATCCTGGAAACAACATTGGGTAGTGCTAGGAATTGCCAGAATGCTTTATGGTTTACCACAGAACTTCTGTGGATTTCTAGAGCTACCTATTTTCACTTCCGGGTTTTCCCTGGAAGCAACATCATGGCACACACCGTGCCAGACATACCACCGTGTCCCCACTCCCCAAGCCTCCGACAGTTGCTAGGCATTGCCTGGCGACCCTACCCAACAACAAGCCTATGAAGGTAGGTAGGCCGAGGTTAGGTGACTGGCCCAAGTTCACCGAATGAACTTCATGGCTTAGTGGAGATTTGAACCCCAGTACTTCAAGTCCTAATCTGACACTCAGAGCAGTACACCCCACTGACTCATGATTCCCACTAAATCACAAGCTACATCATCATCAGTCCCATGAGATGTGTCTGTTGCTAGAGGGCTCCCATTTGGGTTGCAGTTCAAGTCATGGAATCCTTCCCAATATTTAAAGAACACGCCCAACACACGTTCAACCGGCAAGTCAGGGAGAAGATTCAAGCCTAGCTCATGGATTCATTTGCAAGGGTTTTATTCTCTCCCCCCCCCCCCATTTATCTCTGCGAAATAATGTAACACACTTTGCTTTCTTTGATCACAATGTCACCCTACTCTTATTCCCTGGTTTGTTCCTTCCCCAGATCCACGACACGGTCGGCTTGGCTCCCAGTACTCCCCAGTCTGACATGGAGGAGGGTAAGCAGCAGGGGCAAAGGCCCACAGCGCACAGAATCCTACACATAGCGCAGGATCCCTCCTCCTGTTGGAGCTTCAGGACTCCGCCTCTTCTCCCTCCGTCCAATCCAGTTCTTAGAAAATCTCACTGGTTCCCACATTTTGCAAAACACGTTTGCACCCTTGGCCTAAAGTATTGCAATATCTTGAGTCACTCATTCCAAGCAAAAAACGTCCTTTAAAAAAATAATTGTAATAATCCCAGTGTCGTAGCCATGTTAATCAATGGTAGCAAAAATAAACGTGGGGTTGGTCGGCACCAATAAATATTTTTAGTTTAGCATAAGCTTCCCTGGGTATAGGTTTTTAGTCTATCAAAAGTTTTACGGTAAAATAAATTTTTTAAAAAAATTGTTAGGATTTGAGTTGCCTTTTGCTTATTTTTTATTTGAAAGAAAAATTAAATAAAGGTTGCTGTCATTTTTGCTCCTGCACAACTTCCCTTGGGCGGGCAGTGTTCTCGCAGAGCAATAAAAGAGAACAAAAATACTTTTTTCTAGCGGAAATAAAGATGCTTGCATTATTCACATAGCTTACACAGTGGTTTGGGGACACAGCAAGAACTCACTTCTCACACTCTTGTTTCCCCAGGACCTAAGGTCAGCTGAAGGGTGAAACCAAAGTATTTCTCCCAGGCCCAGGCAAGGAAGAGACAGAACTGACCATACACCATATTCAAAATTGGTAGGCCCACTTTATGGAAATATGCAATGCCCCTTATTTGACAACAACAATCGATGTCAAAAAAAATTCTTGTTGGTTCATCCAGCACTGTCCAAAATAGGTGGTTAATCCTGCCCCCCCCCAAGCATTCCCAAACACATCTGTGCTCACAAGAAGTTATATTCATTCAACAGGCAGTTAAGAGATGCCAATGTTGGATCAGGCCAAAGGCCCATCCAGTCCAACACTCTGTATCACACAGTGGCCAGAAATACCAGGTGCCATCAGGAGGTCCACCAGTGGAGCTGATGGACATCGGATTCCGGGCAAACAAAAGGAAGTACTTCTTCGCTCAAAGAGTGATTGGCTTGTGAAATTCACTACTACAGGATGCAGCGATGGCTGCTAGTTTTGTTGACTTGAAAAGGGGGTGGGACGTGTCCATCAAGGGCCACAAGGACTAAATGGAACCTCCATGTCCCGAGGCAGGAGCCTTATAAATATCAGCGCTGGGTGACAGCAAGGGAGAGATGGCTGGATTCTGTGTCCTACTTGAAAGCATCTGTCTGACCATTGTGAAAGAATGCTGGATTAGACGGACTCGCCGGTCTGATCCATTTAGGCTGTTCTTCTAGTTCTACGTGCTTCTGCTCCAAGCTGTGCCGGAACTGGGATCCTTTTACTTTCCAGCCCATTCATTTAAACACGGCTGGTGGCCAATGCAGAGGGATGGCGTGGACAAAGAGACAGGGCTAGATCACCCCTGCTGTTCTCACTTCATAGCCTGGAGAACCAATCTCACTCTGGAGATCGGGGGGGTGGGGGTAGGGGTGGATTGGTCCACCAATTGCACTCCCCACCCCAGACGTTTAATGTAATTACTAGGGTAGACAGTTGAAAGTGTGAGAAGGCCCTGACCTGAATAGCCCAGGTTAGCCCAATTTCATCAGATCTCAGAAACTAAGCAGGGTTGGCCCTGGCTAGTATTTGAATGGGTGTCCTCCAAGGAAAAGCAGGGTCGTGGCACAGAGGCAGGCAATGGTGAACCACCTCTGAGATGTCTCCTGCCTTAAAAACAAGACTAGCTTGCCAGCTGGTGGTGCATAATGCTAAAACAGCTAGAACTTGTGGCTGCCGGACGATCTTAGAATCTCCTGGCTATTCTACACACAATGCCATACGATAATTAAATTATTAATTGGGGGGGGGGGGAAATGAGCCACTGTTGAGAACTTGCACCAGAACTCAAAAGCTGTGCAAAGTTAGAACTGGGAGATTTATAAAGCAGCTATGTCCGTATTGCTGCATACCAGCTAAACAGACATGGAGATATATGGTCTCTCTTGAGCATGGTGGCACATGACAGTATGACCACATTCTTTGGTTCGGTAAAAATCATAAGAGCATCCATGCTGGACCAGACCTTGGTCCAGCATCCTGTGTCCAACCGTGGCTACTCAGATGCCACAGAGAGGCCCACAAGCAGGGCCTGCTGGCCACATGCCTCCACTGCTGACCCCTGCCAACTGGAAGCATTCCTTCTCAAACCCGAAGGTCCCACTTAGCTAGTTGCTCACGATAGACTTCTCTGCCATAAGTTCATCCAACCAGCCCTTTTAAATGCACCTAGCTCGGGGGCGATCACTGCACCATCTAGTGGCAGAGGAGAGTTCCACAAGTAAACCACCCTTTGGGTACAGCAGTGCATCTTTTTTGTCTGCTTTGAATACACTGCCAATTGATTTCGCAGAGCAGTCCCAGTCAACTTCTGTCCACATTCAGAAGCGTTTTCTGTCTCTGTACCCAGTGTCAGGTAGGGTTGCCAGACCCCTGCCCAGGGGAACCCCCGCTTTTGTGGGGCACTTCCCTGGCGCCAGCCAGCCAGTGGGGGGAATCCCACCCCCAACTGGCCTGAAAGGCAACACGACATCACCCAGAAGGCACGGTGATGCTCTAGTCTTTGGGGGAAACTCTATGGTAAGACTGGCTACAAACCATAGAGTTTTGTCCCAAAAAATAGAGTGTCAACCCTCCAATGTTGGTGACGTGATGACATCACTTCCAGGTGACACCATCACGAAAGGACCAAGGATCCCCACCGCCACCCACCAGGTAGGACCCGGCATCCCTAGTGTCAGGCAAGCCACCATTGTTCAGGCCCCTCCCTTTTCCCCGCTTCCAATACGGAGGCAGTGCTTCTGACCTACCTTGATAGGACAGTATAAGAGTGAGACACTGTACATAAAGTGCTTTGAAAGGAAAGTAAGCACTAAATTAAAGAGCTACATATGATATCCCACAAAACAACCTGGACAAACACTGTTCTTCTGCACACTTCGGATAATGCGCTTTCAGTGCTCTCCAGCAACTGCTTGCAACTGAATTATCGCGGTGCAAACAATTGCTATGGCACATTGAGAATGCATTATCCAACCATGTTTGAAAACAGCCCAGTTTACAGCGAAAGGCTGCAAAGCCTCTGGGGGAGGTGGGGAATTCCCCTACCCTGAGCTCCTGTGACCACTGCTGCTCTAGGCGGCAGTGGGGGAGAAATAAAAGGAAGCCAGGCAGAGCCACCAGCATGACGATATCACTTCTCAGAGAAACTCAGAAGTGTCGGTGGGTAAAACCATAGAGTTTCTAGCAATTCCTAGAGCTACCCGCTGTCACTTCCTGGTTTCCCCTGGAAGTGATGTCATCATGCCAGCCACAACACTCATCACCATGTCCTTGCCCCCAGCCTTCCTAACAGTTGCCAGGCTCAGCCCGGCAACCTCAGCTCCTCTCCTCTCACCTTGAAATTCTCAAAGAATCCGCCTCCTCCGTTCTCCATTTTGTCATCCTCCCCGGAGGCCCAGCCCATCATGCTGCGGCTGCGGATCTGCACCTCCTCGTACAGGCTCTCCAGAAGGGCGCTGCGGGTGCGCTCCTGCATCCGGAAAGGAAAAATGCATCCGTGTCAATTAAACAAACGGAAACGTGGATGTTGACAAACACAGAAAACGATGATAAAGATCATCTGAATCTCTCCGTAAAGCTTTTTTTTTGGAATGTATCACTTCACTTGTAGGTGTGGGGCGTGGTGGTGAGGGGTTGCATTCATGTTTTAACTACTCCTTCACACAAAATAGTCCTTGCACTTTAAAACAAAAACTAGTATGCCTAGAAGGTCTTGCTGAATCTAGCTCCAGAGCAGTGTTCCCTCTAAGCGGAGTTAGTGTGAGCCAGCTCACAGTTTTTTAGCCTCCAGCTCACACACTGTTATCTTAGCTCAGGAAGAATGGCTCCGGAGCAAACTAATTTACGCAACGGCCAAATAGTTCACTCACAAAGTAGAATTTTTGCTCACAAGACTCCGCAGCTTAGAGGGAGCATTGCTCCAGTGGCGCTTTTTCTACATGTTAGGTGATTCTTTTCTAAATATGAGAGGGGGAAGCATTGAAACATTCAAGATCCCCATACAAATGACAAGAAACGTGATTTCTTGATAAGAGTGAACGGGCCCTGTGCTCCAGCAAACCTAAGGCTAACTGACATGTTACAAAGTCCTGACTTGTCCCACCGCCCAACGGCTGCCACAGTTAAAGGCTGCTCTGGAAGTTCCATGCTTGTCATTCAATTCCCAGGCATTTGGCAGGCCTGATTCAGAGCAGGAGCAAAAACCCTTCCGTGTGCCGCACGGAGAACACAAAGAAGTAACTTAGGCATACCAGATCACGTGGCAGCAGCAAGAGCTTTGCATCATGTGAATCGGCCCCTACCAAAAATAGCAAGCCCTTCTTCTATTTTTAACCTGGAAGACGGAAAGCCCCCTCCCCCTCATTCTTCCCTAGCCACTAAATACCAGACCCAACCCAACTACATGGGGCTGCCCTTGTCGCAAATCCAGAGGCTGCAGCTGGTGCAGAATGCGGTGGCCAGGCTGTTGAGGGGTCTCCTTAGATAGGAGCACATCCGGCCTGCGCTGAAAACACTGCACTGGCTGCCAATAGCATACCGAATTCGCTTCAAGGTGCTGGTGCTTACCTTTAAAGCCCTATATGGCCAGGGTCCGACATACCTGAGGGACCGCCTTTCCCCACACGTACCCCAGAGAGCACTACAATCTGGGGCACAACGTCGGCTAGTGATTCCAGGCCCCAAGGAGGCCAGGTTCACCACTACTAGGGCCAGGGCCTTTTCAGTGGTGGCTTCTACCTGGGGGAATGAGCTCCCGGAGGAGATCAGGGCCCTGCGGGACCTTGTACAGTTCTGCATGGCCTGCAAGATGGAGCTCTTCCGCCAGGCTTTTAATGAGGAGCCACCCACCACTACCACCAACTATTTGTTAGTAACACCAGGGTAGCTGGTCGGCCCTATATGGAGACCGAGCCACAGTATAGTACGAGACAGATACGGCTTAACTGGGACCCGTGATCCATCTACGGTATACCATCTTTAACTTGACCGGAAGACCGACCTTATTCTGAGCACTTTAATTGTAATATATGATTGTTTTATCTTGCTTTTATATATCACGGCACACAGTGCCCTTAAGTGTAAGCCGCCCTGAGCCCATCTGTGACCCTCTGAGACCCTCTGCCATTCCTCTCCTGAAAGTCTCCGAGCCACTTTTGCCCATCATCATTCCTTGGCTGGTGCAGCTGCGGGGCTGCCAACTGCCTGGGGGTGGGGGTGGGTGGGGGAACATCCCGTCCCATTAACAGAGGCTTAAAGGAATGTTATTAATCAGCTGATGCTATTTACCTCCTGCATTTCATACTCTATTTCTTTTCAAGGTATTATTTCCTGGCTCTCATAACCCAAGATCCCAAAAGACATGATGCAAATTTTAAAGGTTTAAAGAACCCACCTCCAGCTTAGCGAATTTCTCAGCATGGAAGCAACTGTACTCTGCATTGATCAGCTTTGCCAGGAGAAATTCACGGAATTCTGGGCCCTGCAGAGAGGTGGAGGAAGAGGGAAACATTCACTTATAATTCTGACGGTCTTGAGGCGCCAATCCTCAGAATCACTGTTATAACCAGAAGCTGCTTCGGCACCAGAACGGAGTCACAGAGATGCTCCTTTGCAAACCCAACACATGCATGCTACAGGTAGATTACCGATGTGCAGGAACAGACACTTCTTATACTTACGGAATAATATTTCCCTATTCATTTCAATGAGTGGTATTTTCCACTCATAATAATAATAATCAGTAAGACAGCCCTGCTAGGTCCATACCATTGTAAATACATATTTACTTATTTGGCAAATACGCCCCCGCCCTTCTGGCCTCATAAGGGCCACTAAGGCAGCCATCAAATTAAAAAAAATACATCATAAAATCACATCTTAAAAACCATTAAAACAAACGAAAGAACTCAGATCATTAAAACAAATAAAACCAGAGCTAAAATACACATACCAAAACAGAAAAGCAATATTGGGCAGGATCACTGAGGGAGCCCCAGATGGCAACGGAAGGGAAGAAGCCAGTCTCCCTGGGGAGAAAGTTCCAGAGTTCTGGTGGAGGTGGAATTCCAATCCACCTCCACAGAACCAGAATGGCTCCCCCCAATCTCCTCCAAAAGAATTCCTGCTTGTGTATACCTCACACATCAAGGAGAGAACTACTTCTCTTCCAAATGAGCTCGCTTTCCACAGAGTGCTTTTGCTTAGTGGAACATTCACACATGCCACCCTTCACTTGCAATCGAAAATGACACAGTCCCCCGACAAGAACATAAGAGAACATAAGGGACGCCAATGTTGGATCAGGCCAAAGGCCCATCCAGTCCAACACCCCGTGTCACACAGTGGCCAAAAATACCAGGTGCCATCAGGAGGTCCACCAGTGGGGCCAGGACACTAGAAGCCCTCCCACTGTTCCCCCCCCCCCCAAGCACCAAGAAGACAGAGAGAGCATCACTTGCCCAAGAGTCCCTATCTATACCTTGTGGCTAATAGCCACTGATGGACCTCTGCTCCATATGCTTATCTAATTCCCTTTTGAAGCCGTCCATGCTTGTAGCTGCCACCACTTCCTGTGGCAGTGAATTCCGTTTGTTAATCACTCTTTGGGTGAACAAGTACTTCCTTTTATCTGTTCTAACCTGACCGCTCAGCAATGTCATTGAGTGCCCACGAGTTCTTGTATTGTGAGAAAGGGAGAAAAGTACCTCTTTCTCTACCTGCTCTATCCCATGCATAATCTTATAAACCTCGATCATGTCACCCCTTAGTTGTCGTTTCTCCAAGCTAAAGAGCCCTAAGTGCTTTAACCTTTCCTCATAGGGAAAGTGTTCCAACCCTTTTATCATTCGAGTTGCCCTTTTCTGCACTTTTTCGCATGCTCTAATATCCTTTTTAAGGTGTGGTGACCAGAACTGCACACAGTATTCCAAATGAGGTCACACCATGGATTTATATAGGGGCATTATGATATTGGCTGATCTGTTTTCAATACCTTTCCTAATAATCCCCAGCATAGCATTGGCCTTCTTTATTGCAGTTGCACACTGTCTCGACATTTTCAGTGAGTTATGTACTACGACTCCAAGATCTCTCTCTTGGTCAGTCTCTGCCAGTTCAGACCCCATCAATGTGTATTTATATTTAGTATTTTTCCATCATCCTTTTCAATGGACAGAGTGAAGGTCTGAAGGTCACCTAGGCGAGAGATGTAGTACAATGTACAACAGAGTCTTCGGGAAGAGACCTCTCTCTTTTTATCTACATACACCAAAGATGCTTTCGGCAGCTGTCTGGTTTTAAAATGGCAACAACTGCAGCAGCGGGAAGAGGATGCAGCTGTCTACGAGCCATTATTTATTTTATTTACAAAATTTGTATACCACCTTGCTGCCCTTACAAAGGTCACTGAGGCAGATAATGTGATAAAAATCACATTTAAAAACCATTAAAATAAAAAACCCAAAAAACCCCACACATCATTAAAACAATTAAAAGCAGTTAAAACACATAAAAACAGCAGCTGAAACATTAGTTAGGAAGGAGGAATCACTGAGGGAAAGCCAAATGTAACAAAAAAAAGTCATCACCCGCTGGCAGAAGACAGAAGGTGACAAGACGAATCTCCTTGGGGAGAGTTCCAGAGCTTTGGTGCCATGGCCCAGAAGCCACTCTTCCTAATCCTAATCTCAGGAGGTGAGGTATAGAAAGCAGGGCCTTTGAAGACAACTGTAGCAACTGGGCAGGCTAATAAGAGAGCAGGCCGTCCTTCGGGCACGTTAGTCCCAAACCGTATAAGGCTCTGAAGGTCAAGACCAGCATCTTAAATTGCACCCAAAACATGTCCAGGGTGTATGGCCGGCAACACTAAATGTTTTTTATTTATTTTTATTTATTTATTTTCCGTACTTATAGCCCACCCTTCCCCCAAGCGGGCTCAGGGAGGGTAACATCATTTTAGCAACACAATAAAGTTCAGAAAAAGAACAAAAACACAGTCATCGGCATTAAAATGGCGGTCACAGCCCAGGAGTAGAACTGGCTGGCTGTGAGGGATTCCTTGGCCCTTTGACGACAATAGCTAGTTGTAGATAAATGGGTGACAACAACGTCAGGGAGGCCATACATGGACGCCCGCTGCTTCAGCCAAAGGCTTGGTGGAACAGCTCCGTGTTACGGGCCATGAAAAATTGAAGACGATCCCACAGGGCTCTGATCTCGATGGGGAACATGTTCCACCAGAAAAAGCCCTGGCTCTGGTTGAGGCAAGACAGACGTCTTTCAGGCCAGGGACCACCAGGAGATGTTGTTCCATAAAGCATAAAGCCCTTCAAGGCGTATATGGGAAGAGGCAGTTCCTCAGATATGTTGGTCCCACCCAGGCTATGATGTGTAGGAGGGGCCAGTTTTTCCAGGCCTTGATTACGGCATAGATTATAAGAAGAAGAGACTGGATTTATACCCCACCCTTCACCACCCAAAGGTGTCTCAGAGCGGCTTACAAACGCCTTTCCCTTCCCCTCCCCACAACAGACACCCTGTGAGGTAGGTGGGGATGAGAGAGCTCTGACAGAAACTGCTCTTTTTTCAAGAACAGCTCTTATCAGAACTATGGCTTGCCCAAGGTCATCCAGCCAGGTGCCAGTGGGGTAGTGGGGAATCAAACCCGGTTCTCCCAGATTAGAGTCCGCGCACTTAACCACTACACCAAACTGGGACCTGGTAAACCCTACCAGAATACTTACTAAGTCTTTATGTTTTCTACTATAGGAGGGGTCTACCAGACACACACAAACCTTTTTGAATATGGCTGGGTTTGGGAGAGGGGGTCCAAAGAAGGGGACGTCATCACGGGCTGTAACGGAAACCTGGGAAACAGCATAAAGAAACAAAGTGACTCAGGAGCTGTGATACGAAGGTTCTGAAGGCAGCACAATGACTTGCTGTGGGATGAGATGGCTAATGGTAGAACAAACCACAAATCTCTGCTTATAGCCTGCAAGGGACAAGATAGACACTTTGCACTGTGTAGGATTTGCTTGTCTGTAGACAGGAGCCATCTCCCCTCCCCTCCCGACAGCAACTTTTACAGGGAAACAAAACAAAATCCTGCTAAAATCTGGCAAGCCACCACCCAGAACCAAGCACTCCTGGCTACTTCATTCCAACTCGGAAGCAGTGTTCCCTCTAAGCTGCGTTAGGGTGAGCTAGCTCACAGTTTTTTAGCCTCCGGCTCACACATCTTTGCCTTAGCTCAGGGAGGAGGGCTCCAGAGCAAACTGATTTATGCGGCAGCCAAGTCGCTTGCTCACAACTTTCATGCCAGTCGCTCACAAAGTAGAACTTTTGCTCACAAGACTCCACAGCTTAGAGGGAGCATTGCTTGGAAGCTTATCCTTCTCAAAAGTTTTCTGCACCTGACACCAGTAGCATAGTGTTTCCCAGTTAAGTTCACTAGGAAGTCCTGGATGCAACGCTTTGCTATGTTCTAAACCCATCAGGCTAGCTGTGTTTCTCTAGCTCGGAGAAATCTGCTGTCTTTTCAAGAAATCTTGCAGTAGATTCTCCCAAATGCAAAACCCATTTGGTAGATATGGGGGGGGGGGTGAATAAGGCAGGAAAGGGAGCCTAGCATTGATGCTCCCCTCCCCATTTCCTCCTTGCTCTCCCTAGCCCCTAGAACAATCTGTGATATTTTCATCGCTTTTGTATATGTCCTCAGTGTATTTAACCCCTTCCCAAGCCACATGATAGCTGGACATCTGTCTTCCAAGACTGAAATGACTCACTCGAGAGTAACCCACCCCACCCCACCCCACCCCACCCCCGGATCAATCTGCAAGGCTCTACTGAGCCACCTGGACGAATTCCTGTGGGGCTGTCCCCTTAAGAAAGGGGGCGGAGCCCCAAACAGCCCCACCGTAGCTACGAGCCAATTGGAGCACCGTTCCTACATATCTTGCTGCGACAAAGAGGCAGAAAAGAATTCCCTAACCTTAACCCCTTGGTCTCCTGCTGTCCTCCCACAGAGAGAAAAGATGCCCAGCTGAATGGAGAACCTTCAGGTAAGATGCTGGCTATTGCTACGCGGGTCAGGGTATCCCCAGTATGGCCACCCACCATGGACCCAACACAACAGTACAAAAAGGATGCTGTGGCTGGCAGCTGTATATGGATTTAACCTTGTAGAGTGTCTCCCCGAGGGCGCTGTGATGGGCCTGTACCACCACATAAGCATGCAGGAAGTTGGACGCGATCATGTCGGGGACAAAGGGCGTGTTCTCGTCTTGGAACACAATGGCCACAATATCATTCCCAATGTGGCGCTTCCGCTGTAGCTGGAAACAAGAGAAGGAGAGGGGAGTCACCATTTCAAACCGAAAACCCCTGGGCACAGTTGATTCAGTCCTGTGTCCTGTTTTAAAACCCAGCCTTTTCCTAAAAATGACACTCAACTACCAACCAAACCAGTTTACTGCCTCTCCTTCCCAACCCATTCCAATAATCTATGCGCAGTACTCCATGGGCTGTTACCACCATCCTAAAAGCTTGTTCACCATTTTGAGCTCTCCACCATCCTCCATAATCCTTCCACCCACGAGGTACCTGCTGGGCATCTCCCTCGGTGAAAGGCAACTTTGTAGAGACGTGAAACATGATCTCCTTGCCCCGGAAATTGGTGTAGACCGACTCGGTTCCTGTCTGGCCTCTTGTGACGTCCAAGCCGCCTCGGAAGCTGAGGCAATCGGTTCCCACGCATTACAGGGAAAGGCAGAAGAGGAGAGAGAGGAGAAAAAGGAAAGGGATGTGGAACAAAAAGAGCATTTTGAAACGAGACAGAAAAATCCATTCTTTGTTCCCTTCCCTTCCTGAGAAGAAATGTTGAATCCTAACAGGGGGCCTTTAACAAAAGCCTGGCTCCTGTGGTAAAAATCTCTAACAAAAGCGATTTCTGTCAACAGACTGTGAATTCCTCAGTTCCACCCTCCCGCTGCCGCCCAAAAATGCCACCCAAGTTCTGCTGGGGAAGAAACCCAAGAACAGCCTGAGGGGGGAGTTAGAGGCCTGCGGTGGGAAGAGGAAATGGGTTTCATAAATGGTACCATTTCCTGGCTCCCCTCCCCCACTCAAATTGTCGTCCTGCGGGTCAGTGGGGCCCCCCACACACTGGAGCATGACGGGGGTCAAAACAGGGGGGCTGCAGTGAGGGGGGAGAATCAGTAAAAAGTGTCCTCCCCTTCTTCGGTGAGCAAAAGCACCTACCACAAGCAGGAAAGCAGTTCAGGATCCCAGCCCATCCAGGCTCTTCAGAGCCTTCTTTGCAGTTATCTCCTTCCACCTTCTCTACCCTGCCTCCTTGGGCATTTTTCCTCAAGCACTCCTTCCCACTTCCTTTTCTTCAGGTTTTTCCTTGCTAAGTTCACTGCCTGCTCCGCCCCCTTCCTTCGGTCTCTTTTCCTCTGGGCTTCCTTTACTATATTCCTCATAAGGAATCGAATCTTCATTTGGAATGGTTTCCCTTTCTAAAGTTCGTGTTTAATACTGTGCCTTCTAAATGTACAGTTCCTTCAAAGTACTATGAAGTATTTCATCGTATGTAACCAAATAAGTATTTTCTAAGTGTTACTATATAGCTAAGCCTTGTTCTATGGTAAAGGTAAAGGTAAAGGTAAAGGTTTCCCTTGCTCGAAAGCCAGTCGACTCCGACTCTAGGGTTGCGGTGCTCATCTCCGTTTCAAAGCCGAAGAGCCAGCACTGTCCGAAGACGTTTCCGTGGTCATGTGGCCGGCATGACTAAACACCAAGGCGCACGGAACGCTGTTACCTTCCCACTGAAGTGGTACCTATTTATCTACTTGCAATTTCTTGCTTTCGAACTGCTAGGTCGGAAGGAGCTGGAACTAGAGAGGGGAGCTCACTCCATCATGCGGCACCCGGGTCTCAAACTGCTGAACTACCGACCTTCCACAGCCTGCAGTTCAGCGTCTTAACCACTTGAGCCACCGCAGCTCCATTGTTCTATGGTAGTTAAGTGTTAAATGTTTTGTATGTTTATTGCTGAGTTACAAAATAAAAAAATGTTATTTGAAGAAAGAAAAAAAAGAATCATAGAACGCTAGAGTTGGAAGGGACCTTGCAGGTCATCTAGTCCAACCCCCCTGAACTCTGCAGGAGCACAGCTGAAAGATAGCCCTACATACCTACAACATACCCAAAAGATGGCCGTCCAGCCTTCCCCTACTTCTTGAAGCCTCTTCCCAGTTCCCACCCAGTTCCTAACAGGGAGGGCTGCCAACTCCGGGTTGGGAAATTCCTGGAGATTTGAGGATGAAGCCCGGGGAAGGCAGGGTTTGGGACGGGGAGGGACCTCAGCAGGGTAGAGAGTCCACCCTCCAAAGTGGTCGTTTTCTCCAGGGGAACTAGTATCTGTAGTTTGGGGCTCAGTTGTAATCCCAGGAGATCTCCGGGCTCCACCTGGAGGTTGGCTACCCCGCCCAAAGCCAACTCCAAGGATACGTCAGCTCATATTTTCTTCCATTTATATTGCTAGCCCCCTGAGGGACAGGCAAGGTGAGTTAGCGTATGGAGCCTTTGTGGAAAGGTGAAATAAAAACTTGTAGCTAGACTAGCTCGGAAGAGTTTGGGGAGGGGAGGGACCTCAGTGGGTTAATGCCACACAGCCTGCCCTCCAAAGCAGACATCTCCTCCAGAGGAATGGATCTCTGTATTCTGGGGGTCAGCTGGGATTCTGGGAGGTTTCCAGGCCCCACCTGGAGGTTGGCATCCCTACCCATGGACTGGCAAATTGCTGGGCTTGCCAACGGCTTTGTCCATGGGCAAAGACCATCCCAAGTCCTTGTGCCAACTCGGGCACTCAACCCCAGCGCCTTTTCTACTGCAAGAACAATCCTATATAGACGATTTGGCACTAGGAGGGTTTGTTTCTAAAGCTATCACACTCACCCACGGAAGTCCTGCAGCTGGATCCTGTCTCCGAGAAGATCTAAGAACTCTAAGAAGCCGAGACTCTCGTCTGTATTACTGAAAACCTCTTCCTCTGTGGTCTGGAAAGGGAGAAGTGAGAGAAAATGGGAGGAGAGCCCTTTCCCATTCAAGCTCCCCAACCTGCCCTGGTGTCTGGCAGGTAAGATGGAGGAAGACTCTTTATTCTTTGGGCATGTGGACTTTTTAAAAGAAGGAGCCACTGGACTCCTGTTTCATTTGGCTGCTACAGACGGCTGCATCTACAGTTCATTGGCCTAGTTATCATGTTGTGGTATGTCCAACAACATGCCCCTTCATACACAGATGGCCACGTGAAGCTGCCTCACGCCAAGTTAGATCGCTGGTCTATCAAGCTCAGCAATGCCTGCAGTGACTGAGAATGGCTCCCCAGAGTCAGAAGGAGGAGGAGATGGAGATTGGATTTCTACCACACCCTTCACTTGGAGTCTCAGAGCGGCTTACAAACTCCTTTCCCTTCCCCTCCCCACCACAGACACCCTGTGAGGTAAAAGAAGAAGAAGAGGAGATTGGATTTATACCCCACCCTTCACTACCCAAAGGTGTCTCAGAGCGGCTTCCAAACTCCTTTCCCTCCCCCTCCCCACAACAGACACCCTGTGAGGTGGGTGGGGCTGAGAGAACTCTGACACAAGCTGCTCTTTTTCAAGGACAGCTGTGCCAGAGCTTGCGACTGACCCAAGGTCACATCAGCAGGTGCAAGTGGAGGAGTGGGGAATCAAACCCGGTTCTCCCAGATTAGAGTCCGCACACTTAACCACTGCACCAAACAGCAAAGAAAAGCCTTCTCTATCACCAGCTACTTTGGATCTTTTAACTGGGGACACCAGGGACCGAACCTGGGACTTCCCACAAACAGACGCGCTGTCATTAAGCCACAGTCCCCTCCATGGGATTACTGGAACTAAAAAGTGACAAACGTTGGTTTTTGAGGGGCATCTGGATACCGCTGCACCACCAAAACAGCTCTGGGCCTCCTCCTTAGTCATGCCTGCATGTCCAATGGCTACAACTTCTGTAGGGTTGCCAGGTTCCTTTTGCCCGCCGGCAGGGGGAGGGGGGGATCTTCCAGGAGTGGGAAGTGACATCACCCCCCATTCCCCCCAAAATAGTAATGTCACATGAAACGTGCCTGCGTCACCCAGAAGTGACATCGGCAACGTCAGGGGTGACGCTCTGGGATTTTGGGCAAAACTCTATGGTAAAATCAGCACCAAACCATAGAGTTTTGCCCAAAATCCAGAGCATCCGCCCCCGACATTGCCGACATGCTGATGTCACTTCCGGGTGACACTGGTCAGTGGCAGGCAGTGGCCCACAAAATCAGGGGATCCTCCACCCCCAACCAGGCCAATGGCAACCCTACATTTCCAGCTGCTGAAGGCAAAGGGAATGAGGAGGGAGTGGATAGGATTTGTCAAAAAGGGGCAAACGGCGGGTAGAAAGATAAAGATCGAGCTGCTGAGAAAGAAGACAATGGAGCTGAGGGAAGGAGAGAGACAGGAGTTCTCATCTCGGTCCGTTACCTGGCCCTCGGCAGGAGTGTTGAATGTGGGTGTCTCAAGGTTTGTTTGTTTGTTTTTTTACCTGTCCAAGTTTCTGGTAGATAACCCCAAACTTGAAGTTATTGCTGATTACATGTTCATCAAAGGCAACAATGAGCTGAGACGCCTAGGAGGTGGAGGAAACAGAGGACAAATGAGACAGAAACAGCAGGCAGAGGCCCCGCAGAGAGAAAACAGCGTTATGAAGTCCCAGCAAATCCTACCTTGGGATACAACACCGGGAAGAAACGGTCAACATTCACATCTTCACACAGCAACTGCAGGAGGAGAGGAGGAGGGGGTCAGCATTCTCAGCGCAGCAATGAGGTTTTACAGAAGGCGCCACCGTTGCAAAATAGAAAGGGCGGGTCGGCTTCAGTATGTAGTATGCAAATTCTGCATTAGTTATATGCAAACTTAAATTCTGAATAACCTTGCCTTTGCAAAAAAAAAAAAAAGTTTATTACTTTCCACATAAAATGTTCTGTTTTATTTTAATCGCTTGGAATTCAACGGTTTAAGTATTCTTAAGGTCGGGTTTCCCGAAGCCGAATGGCCCAGGCTAGCCCGATTTCATCCGATTTCGGAAGCTAAGTGTGGTCAGCCCCAGTTAGTACTTGGCTTGGATGCCGCCTAGGAAGTCCAGGGTTGCTACGGGGAGGCCAGCATTGGCAAATCACCTCTGTTTGTCTCTGGCCTTGAGAATCCTACAGGGTCGGCATACATCAGCTGCAAGTTAATGGCACATTCCACCATCCTGGTAGATATCAATATTAATTTTAAAACATCACGATTGGGTGACTTGTATGTCACATGGTATGCCACTGGCTCACATTTGTAAATGTGATTAAAGATAAAAGGAAGTACTTTTTCACCCAAAGAGTGATTAACACAAAGAATTCACTGCCACAGGAGGTGGTGTGGCTACAAGCATGGACGGCTTCAAGAGGGAATTAGATAAGCATATGGAGCAGAGGTCCATCAGTGGCTATTAGCCACAAGGTATAGATAGGGGCTCTGGGGCAAGTGATGCTCTGTCTTCTTGGTGCTGGGGGGGGGAATCAACATTGGGAGGGCTTCTAATGTCCTGGCCCCACTGGTGGACCCCCCGATGGCACCTGGTATTTTTCGCCACTGTGTGACACAGAGTGTTGGACTGGATGGGCCTTTGGCCTGATCCAACATTGGTGTCTCTTATGTTCTTATGTACTTTTCTCCCTTTCTCACAATACAAGAATTCGTGGGCACTCAATGAAATTGCTGAGCGGTCGGGTTAGAGCAGATAAAAGGAAGTACTTCTTCACCCAAAGAGTGATTAACACATGGAATTCACTGCCACAGGAAGTGGTGGCGGCTACAAGCATGGACGGCTTCAAAAGGGAATTAGATAAGCATATGGAGCAGAGGTCCATCAGTGGCTATTAGCCACAAGGTATAGATAGGGGCTCTGGGGCAAATGATGCTCTGTCTTCTTGGTGCTTGGGGGAGGGCAACAGTGGGAGGGCTTCTAGTGTCCTGGCCCCACTGCTGGACCTCCTGATGGCACCTGGTAATTTTGGCCACTGTGTTGGACTAGATGGGCCACTGCCCTGATCCAACATTGGCTTCTCTTATGTTCTTACGTTCACACCCCACCCTGACATTTCAAACACTGCAGCTGCCGTGATATATTTTGAACTCCTGATAACATATTATATAACGATTATGTTTTTCTAGTATATATTTAACCCAGCGAGCAAACACTCCCTTGCCTTTTAAACCAGCACAGGACAGGCCGTTTGGAGTAAATTAGTACATTTTACAGAGAACGGACTTTGGCAATCAGTAACCAGGGAATGGCGTTATGCGTTCGGGCAACGATCTTTGATACAAGAATTGGGCTGCTAGGCACGTGTCTCTATTTTTGTCTGTGGTATGCCACCCTTGGGCACTTATGACCCATGCTAGCAGCTTGGGAAAGATTGAAGGTCAAAGAAGATGGGGACGGCAAAGGATGAGATGGTTAGACAGTGTCATCGATGCAACGAACACGAAATTGAGCCAACTTCAGAGGACGGCGGAAGACAGGAGGGCCTGGCGGGAGCTGGTCCATGGGGTCGCGAAGAGTCGGACTCGACTGTGCGACTGAACAACAACAAAGCAGCTTGTGTGTGACTGCAGGTGTTTCAGAACAGGAATCCAAGTTACAGGAGGACGCAGTTATAGCATATGACCAGTAGAAGGCGCTAGACTCTGTGGCTTAGCCGAGAAGGGAGAAACGGGAAGATCTCCAGAAAGAACTGCATAGCTCAGGATGCGGTCCCTAGAGCAGGGATATGCGGGACTTTGACTCCTGCAGAGATGTGGACAAAAGGCTGCTACTTCTTGCCATCGACAGCTGCTCTTACTGCATCGTGTTCAAATTCCGTAATTCCATCCTCTGCATGGTTTTGACATATCACCTCTGGTACTTTTTCGGGCGTTGTTTCTGGGCTTTGTAACCCCAGCCCTAGTACACTGCTCGATATCTCATGCCATCGGGCTATTTGATCCTACGGTTTTAAACTGTGTAATGCGTCCTTCGTCTCGGTGAGAAAGGTGGGTTATAAATAAAGTAAATAAAATAAATGGCACCATTAAAAAGGCAGGTTGGCAGCAATGTTCCCTCTAAGCTGTGGAGTCTTGTGAGCAAAAATTCTACTTTGTGAGCTACTGGGCATTAAAGTTCTGAGTGAGCGACTTGGCTACTGCGGACTGTAATCTGGGAGAACTGGGTTTGATTCCCCCACTCCTCCACTTGCACCTGCTGATGTGACCTTGGGTCAGTCACAAGCTCTGGCACAGCTGTCCTTGAAAAAGAGCAGTTTGTGTCAGAGTTCTCTCAGCCCCACCCACCTCACAGGGTGTCTGTTGTGGGGAGGGGAAGGGAAAGAAGTTTGTAAGCCACTCTGAGACTCCAAGTGAAGGGCGGGGTATAAGTCCAATCTCTTCTTCTCTTCTCTACTGCATCAATTAGTTTGCTCCAGAGCCATCCTTCCTGAGCTGAGACAAATATCTGTGAGTTGGAGGCTAAAGAAACTGTGAGCTAGCTCACACTAACTCAGCTTAGAGGGAACATTGGGGCAGCCATTCATGCAAGGGCATTCATGACCAGTGTTCCCTCTAAGCTGAGTTAGTGTGAGCCAGCTCACAGAATTTTAGCCTCCAGCTCACAGATTTTTGTCTTAGCTCAGGGAGGATGTCACACATTTTTGCCTTAGCGCGGGAAGGAGGGCTCCAGAGCAAACTGATTTATGCAGCAGACAAATCGCTCGCTCACATCTTAAAGGCCAGGAGCTCACAAATTAGAATTTTTGCTCACAAGACTCCACAGCTTAGAGGGAGCATATGGAACATTTGATGATATTTCAGCATGGTACTACAATTTTTTAATGCATTCCTACCTTACACATTAAGCTTAGGGCTGCCAAATGCCCCCGGGGGGGCGGATTTCCCCCCGCTTTCAAGCCCCGATTCCCGCTCCCGCGGAATCGGGGCCCGCGGGAAACTTCACCCCTGCGTGCGCGTCACCCGGAAGTGACGTCGCACGCTGAGGGCGGGGCCACGCCATTTGAGGGGAAAACTCTTTGTTTTCCCCTCAAATGGCGTGGCCCCGCCCCCAGTGTGCGACGTCACTTCTGGGTGACGCGCGCACACGCAACAGACGCCAGCCGGGAGCCCCCCACTCCCGGCCGATTCACATTTGGCAACCCTAATTAAGCTGCCTTAAACTGACTCAGACCTTTGGTCCATCAAGATCACTATTGCCACACATAGTCACGGCAGCAAGAATATTATATGCTAAGTACTGGAAGAAATCAGAGACACCAATGGAAAGTGACCTTTTGACAAAAAAAATTTGCGACATCAGAAATGGACATACTATCGAACTGTTTGAAAGACAGAAGTAAGCAAAATGGGAAAGATAACTGGATACCATTTTATGACTGGGTAGAAAGAAACCTTGAAGATCAAGAATAATGAACTTAAATATCAAAAACTTAAGAGAGACTCTAGCTTGAACCGTGGAAAGCTTAACTTCTTTGTTTAGGATCCATAAGTGAAAACTTCAGTGAAAGGATTCACGGATAATGACTTTAATAATTATACAAAAGAAAGAGACTTGAAAATAAAAGTAGAAACTTGCAACAGCTACACTACAAATTAGAAGGAATTTCCCTATATGTCTTACCCCTTTCCCTTTACCCTTCCTACCTTTGTCTGCTTTTATTATGTGTGAAAATCTAATACAAATATATGTACTTTTAAAAAGATCGGTATTGCCTACTCAGACTGGCAGCAGCTCGCCGGGGTCTCAGGCGGAGGCCTTTCACATCACCTACTGCCTGGTCCTTTTTGAACTGGAGATGGTGGGGATTGAACCTGGGACCTTCTGCATACAAAACAGAGGCTCTTCCACTGAGCCACAGTACCTCTACCTTAAGAATAGCTGGACAGTTCTCAGTACTGTTAACCGCCCCATGTTCATAAATCTTTATTCAGAAGATTTCCAAAACAAATGCCAATCTACACTCTGGGGATGCATTGAATGCATACAGATATTGAGCTATAAAAAACTGAAAAGAGCTGGATTTAGGTGTATGGCAGTGCAATCCTTACAAACGTTTACCTGGGAGTAAACGCCACAGAACAGACCTGAGTAGGATTCTGTTTAGGATGGCACTGCGAAGCTGCCTTATATGGAATAAGACCATCAGTCCATCAGAATTATCTACTCAGACTGGCAGTGGTTAACTGGAGATGCTGGAGCTTGAACCCGGGACTATCCACATGCCAAGCAGATGCTCTGTCACGGAGCCACCGCTCCGCCTGTGATTCTGCTACTCAAGCACAGAGTGCCAAGACTGACTACAATTTTTTTAAAAAAATACAGACTGCTGATCAGAGGATTACAAAGGGGGGGGGACAGCAATGGACAGTGTTATGTATTGGGACTGAATCATTCCAAGTCTGTCACACCAGAGACTGGCTGAGCTTGGAAGACAAGAACAATAGCCTACCAGGACTCTGGAATAAACCAGTCAAGTAGTAATGTTCCCCCAAGGGCACTACGGTCGGGGAGCCAAAACCTCCTGGATATCCCAGGCCCCAGGACCATCAAATTTGCTGTGGCCAGGGCGTTCTCGGTGGCGGCTCCTACCTGGTGGAATGAGCTCCCAGAAGAGATCCGGGCCCTGCGGGACCTTGTGCAGTTCCGCAGGGCCTGCAAAACGGAGCTCTTCCGCCATGCTTTCGAGTAGGAGCCAGGCTTTCGAGTATTCCACCAACGCTTTTTCCATCATTGCACTCTACCACCGCTGGTGTGGGTATCATCGGGGGTGCGAGACGTCCCTGGCGGATGACAGGGTTGTGGGGACATATACTGCTGTTGTTCTGTTATAACATCTTCAGAACACCATCTTGGTTTTACGATTCGGAGTACTGGAGCACCGATATTTTGAATAACTGTATTATGTTGTATTATTGTATTTTTATACTGTTCTTACTGTTTTAATCAGGCATTTATGACCTTGTTAGCCGCCCTGAGCCTTTGGGGAGGGTGGGATACAAATCTAAAGAATAAATAAATAAATAAATAATGTTATGTAAATAGCCTGTCACTGGGAGTGGGGTGTGTTTGGGTGTGGCAACTGCATGCTATTTAACAGAGCTTTTTGCTTGCAGATAAAGATCTGTTATGTTTCTAACAGAGTCCCTTTGTTTGCATTCGTAGCTAGATCGATTAGATCAAACTATATGGAAATGACCACGACCTCATTTGGCTCTGTATTTATATGACCTTGTTGGATAATAATTTAATTTGTATTTACCCTTGGAGTTTTATCATGTGGGATTTTATGCACTGTTTTTTGTGTTGTTATGACCTATGGTCAACACAATAAATTACTTCTACTTCTACTACTATTCAACAGAGCTGAGGCTCTGGGGTTCTTGTCTTGCTCTTGCTGAATTCACAAATGAAGTTGAGCTGATCACTGGACTTGAGCCTGCTCATCCATGGAACCCACTATTTAACAGACAGTGAAAGGGCTGAGCCCCAAACATACCTTTGCCATCTGGACTGCATTCGGAAATTCATTCAGGCAGGAAATAGGGATCAGGTCATGCTTGGTACCAGTTCGAGTCCTGACACAAAGCGACACAAAACAGAGAGAAATGCTGGGAGGAGGGGAAAAAAACACCGGGAATGTCCCCAACTGCTCCCCATCTTGTGACTCTATTCTCCCGGCAGGTCTAAAGTGAGATCCGAGGCGCACGCCCGAGGGTCGCACATTCGGACAGTTTTACCTGAGGATCAGGCGGAGGTTGTCTTGCCTTTCAACCTGTTCGTACTTGACCGAAAGGACGAGGTTGCCCAAAGTCGTGTCATTAGCATAAAAATTCTGATGCTCCTTAAATTAAAAAAAAGAAAAACAGGGTATTGTGATATCTTGCCCTGACCTGGATAGCCCAGGCAAACCCAATCTTGTCAGAGCTTGGAAGCTAAGCAGGGCCGGCCCTGGCTAGTACTTGGACGGGAGACCTCCAAGGAATACCAGGGCTGGGATGCAGAGGCAGGGAGGGATGGCAAACCACCTCTGAAACGTCCCTTTGCCTTCAAGCCCCACTAGGGGTCGCCAGAAGTCAGCTTGACTTGATGGCCAAAAAAAAAAAAAAAGATATTGTGACATCTCTTTGCCTTCTGCTACCCAGGAAAAAAGCACCTATCTAGACAGCTCTTGTCAATCCCTTCCTATCCCTACAGTCGCAGAACGCACGCCATTTTCCAAATTCTAGACCACGTTGCATTCGCACGAGGAAACACGTGGGAAACATAAAGGCAGCTTGTGACGTTTAAAACAGAGTGTGTCAGTCCCATCAAAGAACACAGCCGCACTCTCTGGAGAAGATTCCTGTTGGCAGCGGAATTTGAGGATATCCTAGCAACAAAGCCTGACCTCCGCAGAGGTGGTCAACTCAGGCTGGCTGTACTACTTCAGACTTTGTGGGGGCTCGCACGACCAACTGCTCCTTTGCAGACAGGAAAAAAAAATCTCTTTATGTAGAAGCCTAGATATCAGAAAGAGGGCAAGGCTAGGCTAGAAGCCTTCTTTTTAGAGACGCTGGACTTCTCTGCGCAGGGGATGTTTGTACAGAGGAAAAGCTGGTCACGTCTGCTTCCTACCAACAAGGCCAAACCAAGCGCAGTATAAAGAGATCGATTAATAGACTCTTTCCATTGTTTTAAAAGAAAATAGTAGATACCAGGGCTCTTTTTGTAGAAAAAGCCCAGCAGGAACTCATTAGCATAATAGGCCACACCCAACAGCAGAAACTCATTAGCATATTAGGCCACACCCCTGACAGCACAGCTCATTAGCGCATTAGGCCGCACCCCCATGTTACCAGAAGTGTGGTTATCCAGCCAGACCCATCTTTTGTTTGTTATTCTGTTTACCTTGTTTGTTGTCAAAACCCAGGGCCTTTTTTTTGGAGAAGGAACTCCTTTGCATGTTAGGCCACACACCCCTAATTGTAGCCAATCCTAATGAGTTTCTGCTGTTGGGTGTGGCCTATTATGCTAATGAGTTCCTGCTGGGTGTGGCCAACTTGGGAGCCAGCTGGAACTCCGTTCCTGTGCGTTCCTGCCCAAAAATAGCCCTGGTAGATACAAACTTCAGCACAAACATGACTGCCAGACTAACTTGACTCCCTTGATGAGATATGAGCTACTGATCGGACCATCTCGATGGTTGATGACGTTTGTGTTCAGCACAGCAGCTTTGAGCCTCCGCAGTAGCCGCTTATTCTACAGGTCACGTTGCTGCAGTTTTAATTGTCAACCTCTGAAGTGCTGGGCACAGTCACTATTTTAAAAAATTTTTAAAAGCCAGCATCATCACACTTGCATTCCATTTCTACCATTAGGTGATATTCATGGTGCCGTAACATAACAATGCTAATCAGCTCAAGCTGGGGGGGGAAATGACAGAGGTATATTTTTGCCAGCTATCGTAATGCACACTCACCAAACTCACACAGAGACACCTAACTAGTAAGTCTCAATTTAAATGACTTTTTAAACATAAAACGGTGTGCTTTTCAAAATGGAAGGTCAGTCAGTTAATTTAATGTGGTACATAACCAGCACATTTCAGTAAAATGGAAGGTGGCGGTAGACGAGAGGGCAAGGAATTCCCCGTTTCCCCCCACTTTCCACAGCAACCCCTCTCTCTTTGCCTGTATGCCGTTCCTGAGGGTTCGGTGACCCCTCTCAGCAAAAGTTTGAAGGGCTCAGTGGGCTTCAGTAGGTAAGCAAAGCAGGAAAGTCCCACTCTACCAAGTCACCACGTGTCAGCTAAGCTGCCAATAGTGTGGTGTGCGTTTCCCTTTCATGTGCATTATTTCCCTTGCGCTTAATTGCCTCTTCGCTGCAACATATATCTCTCAAGGCCACTGGAGGAGTTGCTGTGTCTCTGCACAGAAAGAGTCGTGGGAAGCTTACCTGTTTTGCTTTTGCAGCCGTTAGTTCTCAGCCTACTGCCCGCACGCGGGAACCCCTGTAATTGGGTACTCCGTGGGGGGGGGGGTATACGAATGCCCTATAACCTATTATGCGCATAGATCACCCGCCATTCCTAACAGTGTTCATGTTAATGCATCTATAGCTTTTCAATAAAAGTAAAACCTTCCTGGAAGCGTGTACTTCGTTGTTTAGCTGTGGGTCCTGACATTCTGTTAGGAACAGCGGGTGATCTATGCGCATAATAGGTTATAGGGTATTCATATACACCCCACCCCCACCCCACGGAGTACCCAATTGGTCATCCCCCACTGATGTTATTCTTGCTGCATTTCTGGAAATACACAGATTTATTTATTTTTTTTAAATGGTAACAAAACTGCAGATGGGGAGGGACAGTTAATGGTGTGGTGGAAGAATCCCCCCCCCCAACTCCAATCTTTTCATTCCCAAATTTTTAATGGGCAAATATTCAGCCTCAGACGTCATCGTCAAATTTACCTGAGGAAAGGGTTGGGGGTCATAAGGGACTGCAGGCCTCCCTACCTTCCCCAGGAAGTGTTTGCGGTACAGCTTGGCGGTTGGGTCACACTCCAGCTTCACTTTGCCGCCACAAGGGGAGGGCAAGTCATGGCATTCTGGGCCCGGATTGGGCAGGCTGTGACAGGTCCCCTCGATCCAGTAGCCCCCAAACTGGGGTAAGATAATCAGAGGGTAGGGCCACCCTCTCCGTAACACCTATTGGGAGCGAAAGACAGACATTGTGAGGGCTGGCATGGGCCAGGATTCAAGACAGAACAGATTTGCACCACAAGTGCGAGCTGACATCTGCCCTGAACCTCAAAATTATCTCCAGCAATAATTTCATATAAACGTATCATCTAACCAGAACAAAGTACTCGTTGCCTTCTGTGTTCAGCTCTTTATTTTTTGTTGTTGTTCAGTCGCACAGTCGAGTCCGACTCTTCACGACCCCATGGACCAGATCACACCAGGCCCTCCTGTCTTCCGCCGTCCTCTGAAGTTGGCTCAATTTCATGTTTGTTGCATCGATGACACTGTCTAACCATCTCATCCTTTGCCGTCCCCGTCTTCTTTGACCTTCAATCTTTCCCAGCATCAGGGTCTTCTCCAGTGAGTGCTCCCTTCTCATTGGGTGGCCAAAGTATTTGAGCTTCAGTTTCATTATCTGGCCTTCCAGGGAACAGTCAGGGTTGATTTCTTTTAGGATTGACTGATTTGATCTTCTTGCAGTCCAAGAGACTCTCAAGAGTCTTCTCCAGCACCATAGTTCAAAAGAATCTATTCTTCGGCGCTCGGCCTTCCTTATGGTCCAACTCTCGCAGCCATACATGACTACTGGGAATACCACTGCTTTGACCATGCGGACATTTGTTGGCAGGGTGATGTCTCTACTTTTTATCATGCTGTTTCGGTTCGCCATCGCTTTCCTCCCAAGGAGCAGGCGTCTTTTAATTTCATGGCTGCTGTCACAGTCTGCGATGATCTGGGATCCCAGGAACGTGAAGTCTGTCACTCCTTCCACGACTTCTAATATTTCATTTTTACTGAGCACTGAACACGGGAACAAACACATCCCTTGCATCAGGGGAGGGATTCTTCTTGTGAAAGAAGAAGCATCCACTTGCACAAGGGTCTCCACCATGGTACCCACAACATCTCTATTGGTTCACACCACGTGTTTTTAGAATGTGGGCAGCACCAGGTGGATCTTTTGCCCAGCAAGACTTCTGATTGGCCACTGGGGATTTGATTGGCGGGCAGATTTTTAAAGACCTTGCTTGGAAAGCAGCTGCCACTGCGGCACAAGGATCTTTATTGTGTGACTGAAATAAGATGTGGCGGCCATTTTACGGCTGGTTCCACCTCCTGCAGAACCCATTGTGTGGTAGATATTCTATGCTCCTTCAGACTGAAAGAGCTAAAAAAGGCCAGGGAGCTCTACACTAGCAAAGCAATCAACGGGATCCAGCCAACTTAATACCATTCAAGAATTCTGAGGGGCAGCCACTCAAACTAGCCCCTGATACACCTGGGTGGGGAGCCTGAGCCAGAAGTCAGTTTGTGCTCATGGAATGCAAATGAACTCAAACCCAAATCGGGACTAGTTTCGCTGTGGCTCACCTCCTGGATGCTGGGGTACGGGATATACTCTTCTTCTCTCTGAAAGCACAAAGAATTAATTAGCAAAGGTACGTGGGCAAGAAAACTGGGAATCATGACATCTCATCACGTCCGTGCCGACCAGGATGAACCCCTTGAGACCATTAGAGCAACAATTATTTCATCCAACTGACCCCTTTTTCATTCCACTACTACATAGCGGCTAACAGTGGGAGAGTGGTATGAGTGATATTTCCCAGCTTCTGGAAATAATGCTTGTTAATGCATGCAAAAAAAGTTTGTTAATGCATGCAAACATGTTTGTTAATTCATGCAACTGGTCCACCAATACTAGGATTGCCAGGTCCGTACCTCTTGGCGGTGGGGGACTCCTGGGTCCTCTCTGGGATCTTCGTGCCCAGAAGTGATGTCATCACGCTAGACATGCTGCAGGGGGGATGCTCTAGGGTTTGGCAAAAAAAAACTCTATGTCCACCATAGAGTTTTTGGCCAAATGCTAGAGTGTCTTCCCCCGTGACGTGCCTGGCGCAATGACGTCACCTCCAGGTGAAGTCATTGCGTAGGGCATATCGGACACCATGGAGCTCTTCGGAGCTGGGGCTCCCCTGCCAGCCAGCCAGCTGGCCGGCGGGCAGATCAGGGGGCCCAAAATTGGGAGAAACCCCGCCCCCACAGGGGGGCTGTCAACCCTAACCAACACAGACAACAAATTCCCCTCTCAGAAGTGCCAGTGCTTTGCCAGCGATCTCTATTTTATACTTGAAAAGTGTTACCAGTAGGAAAGAGCCACCAGATACACGTTTGTCATGTTTGGGTTTTTGATATTGCTGGTGTGACTCAGCTCTCTAATTCAATATTAGAGTACAAGTTTTGTTATCCAGCATTCACAATGAAGAGGGGTTGCCACGGCAGTGTTCCCTCTAAGCTGAGTGAGTGTGAGCTAGCTCACCGTTTTTTAGCCTCCGGCTCTCACATTTTTGTCTTGGCTCAGGAAGGAGGGCTCCAGGGCAAACTGTTTTATGCAGGAGCCAAATCGCCTGCTCACAACTTTAATGCCAGTCGCTCACAGAGTAGCATTTTTGCTCACAAGACTCCACAGCTTAGAGGGAGCACTGGATGCCCGTGAATCAAACATGCGGAATACGCAGGCCCCGTCCTGTGAGGAACACCGTGGTGACAGCCCCCCCCCATGCTTGCCAGGATCCTTCTCCATATAACGTTTCGCTTTCTCCTACAAAAAGGTGAATCGCTGCCATTCATTCCTATGGAGTACATGGATGCACTTGGGTGCTAAACCTTTCCCTGTTCCTTGTCTCTGACGCTTCAGTCTTTAAAAGCTGATCCTGCTCTTAACTGGCATAGCCCAATCCGGAGTTCTGCTTGCAGGTCACCCTACAGTTCAATGTAGGGTCAGGGTGGCAGACGATGGGAGGGTCACAGGCAGGACATGAGGGACGTGATGTCACTTCCAGGGAAAACCCAACAGTGACATAGGGTAGCTCTAGGAATCTCCAGAAACCCTATGGTAAAACGACAACATTTCTTGTGATTCCTAGAGCTACCCTGTTCCCCGGAAGTGACATATCAGCACACACAACACTGAGGGGTTCCTTTGCTTTTCCCCTGTTGCCACGGCGGCAGGCATGGACAGCCGCTGGTGGGAGGCCTCCAGCCATAAGTTCCACGGCAGCTTAATCATCAGATGTGGGGATTTTTAAAAACAATGACCATTTTCATCTCTAAAATCCCATGAAAGGGTTGAACTCACCTTGAGTGGAGCTGGAAGTGAACATCTTTGCTCATCCAAACGACTTCTCTAGACACAGAGAAAGTGAAACAGTGACGCCTCAAAGCCCGGTACATCGGCCCCTCTACCAAAATCTCTTCTGGCACTCTATCAGGTTTCAGTGAAAGGAAAGCAAGGCTCTCCAAAAGACTCAACCTTAGATCTATACAAAGCCAATGTTGTACAGCGGCTAGAAGGTCAGACTAGAACCCGGGAGACCTCTCATGGAACCTCTCTGAGTTACCTTGGCCCAGTCACACACTGTCTGGCCAACCTACCTCACAGGGTTGTTGTGAGGATAAAGTGGAGGTGAGGGCAGTCACACACAGGGTTGTTGTGAGGATAAAGTGGAGGTGAGGGCAACAATGTAAACAACTCTGGGTACCCAGTGGGAGGATAGGCAGGCTATAAAAAGAAGTAAATAAATAAATTCGAGATCGCAAAAACTAAAAATATCAATGTGTATTAAGAGCACTGTTTAGGTTACTTCCTACATCATGTTATAATTAATAATTATCGTATGACATTGTGTGTAGTATAGCAAGGAGATCCTACGATTGTTCGGCAGCCTCAAGTTCTACCTCTTTAGCATTATGCACCACTAGGTGGTGAGCTAGACTTATTTTGGGGGCTGAGAGAGCTCTAAAAGAGCTGTGACTGACCCAAGGTCACCCAGCTGGCTTCAGAAAGGCCACTTAAACTGGAAGAAACCTCCTTTGACTGGAGGAAGGTTCCATGGAGGATGGTCTGATTCACTCCACCATCAATACAGGACCAACGTTCACGTTTTTGTTCTCTAAGCAAAGTTATTTGAGGCTCTGGTGTACATACCTAAAACTAGGGTTGTCAGGTCCCCTCGCCGCACCAGCAGGGGGATTTGGGGGGGGTTCTGGGACATCCCCGATGTGATGACATCACCCGGAAGTGACATCATCATGCTGGGGACGTCACACGGGGACATTCTGGTTTGAGGGTAAAACTCTATGGTAAAACCGAGTTAAAACCATAGAGTTTTGCCCTCAAACCAGAGCATCCCTGCATGATGTCCCCGGCATGACGATGGCACTTCCAAGAGACACCATCATGTCCAGGATGTGGCTGTTTGGGGGTCCCTGACCTAGGCTTGCCAAGTCCCCCCGGGGGGCGGGGAAACCCCCGCCCCAGAGGCCCATTCCCCGCCGCCGGCGGATTGGGCCCCAGGGGAAACCCCACCCCCAAAGCACGGGATGTGCTTGGCGTCATCACGTCACCCGGAAGTGACGCAGCCATGCTGGGCGCGCCGGGGGCGGGGCCACGGTCATCCGAGGGAAAACTCTATGTTTTCCCCTCGGATGACCGCAGCCACGCCCCTGGCGTGCCCGACGTGGCCACGTCACTTCTGGGCACTCCCGGAGCAAACCAGGAGTCCCCCGCTGCGGCTTAAGGTAGGACTTGGCAACCGTACCCTGACCTGGGGACTGGCAAGCCTACCTAGAACACAGGCCCCCTTAATTTTTACAGCAATAGCTTCCGACTGATGCAGAACCAGCAAGCTGGCTAGATATATGGATGCTCTTGGGAAAGAACAGCATCACGGAACATTGTGCAGGAGGGAGAACCACTTAACAAACGCACACAAATCCATGCTGGTGGTGAAATGAATGTTAACTAGCAGGACCTCTGTTGCTGCTGATTTTTAAATGGTCAATTTGTAAAAAAACAAAAGAGGACAGAGATTCCAAGACGCTTTCTGAATTCAGAGGGATAATAAGAGGCGTCTATAAGGAAGCCCATGGTTCAAATGAAAGGATTCATCACAGGGAACAGAGATCTTGCAGTCAGTACATGGGGAACTCTACACCGGAGCAAGCAAGCACCCTGGCGGCCATTCTGGCTTGGGGAGACAGTGGCCCAGTCTGCATCTAGCATTTGCTCCGCTGTTTTACCAGACCCACCCTGGAACAGGAAAAGACGCAGCTCAAAACCACATTCTAATACCTCGGGCCAACACTGGCATCCTTGCGGCAGAGTGACCCCTGAGTGGCCATCAAACGGCCATACATCTATGCAGACGGCTACCATAAAACCGAGAGATCCAACAAAGCGAAAGCGGCCTGCAGTCTGGACACTGCCATAAAATCCGACAATCAGTCAGAGTGAAAGTGGCATGCGATGTAGAGGGGAATGTCTGTCCCAGCGGGGGTTTGGTAAGACAGTGGAGCAAATGCTAGATGCAGACTGGGCCAGCATAAGAGGCAAGGCTGAAGCCCCTCCCCCCACCCCATGCTGTGCTCCGGGGCCCCAAAGCTTCCGTTCCCTGCTGTTACTTGTGACTGCAAGTCACAGAAGGGGACTCCCAAACCAATGTTCCCTCTAAGCTGTGGAGTCTTGTGAGCAAAAATTCTACTTTGTGAGCTACTGGCAATAAAGTTGTGAGCGAGCGATTTGGCTGCTGCATCAATTAGTTTGCTCTGGAGCCCTCCTTCCTGAGCTGAGACAAAACTCTGTGAGCTGGAGGCTAGAAAACCGTGAGCTAGCTCACACTAACTCAGCTTAGAGGGAACAGTGCTCCCAACCCAACTTGCATCATGTTTACTATCTGGCAATGCCCTTAGGTTAGCTGTAGGGAGTAGCCAGGGCTGGATGTGCCGACAGCAATGCAGGACAGGAGGGGAGCCTTTTGACATGGCTATGGGGACGGGCGGGCAGGACTGGGATTGCAGGGCAACCGTGCAGCAGGATTAATGCACCGAAAGCAACTCATCCTCACGAAGCAAGACCTTGACGGGATAACAAGCCAACTTGACTTACCTGCATTTTTTCAATCATTTCAAACAAGTCCGCTGCCTGTGAAAAGCAAGGTGAAATTTAAAAATCCCGCACAAGGATCAATCAGATTAAAAGGATTTGCTTTTTAGAAATTCTTTTAACAACGATAACACTGCGCTTTCACCTGTCCGCCGACATTCGAACCTGCGGGGCTCTTTAACAGCGATGCTGACAATCTCGGCGTGCCCTGACCCACTGTGTTTCAGAAATAGCTATGAGGCCGAGACTATTGCATAAGGTTTAATGATGACTCCAAAAAAACCCAGACTCTAAAATAGCACTCACTCAACTTGTGCCATTTTTTAAAAATCTCACAGTCTAGATGTCTTGCGCCCTTAACAGGGGTGGGCAGGGGGGAGGGACAATAATCAGGCCTGCATTTCTTGTGGAGGTTCTCCTCATATGCTGAACTGAAAAGCTCCACACAGGACTGGAAAATTTCCCAACTAAAAATACAATAATAGGGGCCACCCCCCCCCCCTTAACCTTACCCAGGGGTCATTTCCTGCAAGAGCGCACAGGACCAGAGCTCAGAGCCCAGGGGGCAGGCACATGCAACAAGCCCCGCCCCCTGCTCCCAGCAGCCCTCAGTCGGGCCACAAGGAGCAAAAAGCAGCCAGGTAAGTTGCAGAGCCCCCCCCCCCCCATCCTGCCTTCAGGTACAAGCTCTCCCTCCTCTGTGAGGGCAGATCTGCACGTCCGTCCCCCCGCCCATAGCTAGCAATCCAAAACAGTCCAGTGGCACCTTTAAGACCAAGTTTTATTCAGGTACAAGCTCTCCCTCCTCTGCGAGGACAGATCTGCACTCCCCCCCCCCCCAATAGCTAGCAATCCAAAACAGTCAGGTGGAGCCTGAGCGGTGGGTGCTGCCTTCTGACACACTTCCGGTGATGTCAGGGGGTGTGGCATATGCAAAAAATATATATGCTAATAAGTTATGCTAATGAGTTCCTGCACCTCTTTTTCTACGAAATGACCCCTGACCTTACCTGAAATGGTCCTTGGGCGTTCCACTTAACGTGTGGGGGGAAATTTACATTCTGTCTCAGTTACATATGCATTTCTACAGTAAGCAGGGTGGCCAGCTGTGCATTGGGAAATACCTGGAGATTCTTGGGGCGGGGGCCTGAGGAGTGTTGGGGTTTGGAGAAGGAGGGACTCCAGAAGGGTCGATTGCCATACAGCCCACCTTCTAAAGTGGCCGTTTTCTCCAGGCGAATTGATCTCTGTTGCCTGGAGTTCAGTTGTGATAGTGGGAGACCTCCAGCTACAACCTGGAGGTTGACAATCGTGGCAGTGAGCCAAAGAGTGCCCCCCGCCCCCTGAGCCCATCTCAGGTTGTGAAAACAGTGTGGGGGCGAAGACTGACATCCTTCTACCTAGGGACGCCAGACTCCAGGTGGGACCTGAGGAGCCCCTGGAATTACAACTCATCTCCAGACTACAGAGATCAGTTCTCCAGGAGAAAATGGGTGCTTTGGAGGGTGGACCCCACTGGGGTCCCTGTCCTCCCCAAGCTTCATCTCCACATCTCCAGGAGTTCACCAGCCTGGATCTGGCCACCCTCCCCCCCCCATCCCCCACTGGTGGCCAGGGGGATCAGGCGACCCTACTTCTACCCTACACACTGCCGTCCCAATCCAAACTAGGCATCCCGTGGTGGGGGGACTGAGGGGAACCCGCAACCCACACGTGACTAGAGATGTAAAATTTCCAGAAATTTTGAAGCTCGGGAAAAAACCCTTTTTTTCCAGTTTTTTTCAGGGGGAACCGGAAATTTTCGGAAAAATTGGAAAAATGGCAACTTTGCATTTTTTTTTTC